GGAAGTTAAATTAGTATTGTTGAGATAGGTTAGTGATAATTTAGCCTAAAAATTAAGAGAGAGAGAGAGAGAGAGAGAGAGTAAATTAATCTCAAAAGAAAAAAGTGTTGAAAATCACATACCTAAGTCAGGCCACGTCCAGTAGCTGTTTACATCGAGAACAACACGAAGGACTTTGAAGACTTCTCTACTTAAGCAATCAGCTACACAACTATACCGACAGAACTGTGACAATGTGTTTGTCATCTCAGTTTCTTCCGTCGCGCGATCGCGTGTCATACTAGGAAACCGATTGAATATCACCCGTACTATCAAACTATCAACAACTAGCTGAGAAATATAACATCCGAGTACTAAAAGACAAATAACCCAGTGTTAAAGGAGGAGAAATTCGATTGTCCACGTATAAATAGAAGGAACCGTACAAGTCTCGAAACAAATATGGTCATGACGGCTCACCTCTGATCGCACACCTGCAAATGCATCGCTAAACAGTCGTTCACCTGACTCTTTTTTCCAAGATAAATCGATAAAAGAAAGGCGAGAAATCAAGTCGTGGTGGACCAGCCTGGATAGCCATACAACGGCGACAGCCACCCAGTTCCACAACTATCCTCAGAACTGCGATCGCAAGAGGGACTACACGAACGAAGAAGACTTCCGTCCCGTCATATCCGGAACAGCGTAAAGTGGACTTTCCCATAGAAGACGACGGCCCGAATCGTTGTATAAGAAAGGAAGACATCGATTACGGTTCAACCTCCACAAGACAGAGAACCACATCTCTCTCTCTGAGGTATTTTTGTAAACTCTCTCTCAAGAGCGAATAGCGGATATAACACGTAGATATCTTTCTCGTGTCGCCTTAGATGTATATAATGTATTTTTGTGTATTCTTAGGTTTAGACGTTTTATATTAAACTTATATTTTTATTCGTTAATCTGGCTACCTGTCTCTACTCAAACCTTGGACATTTATTGACTTATTCGCGACCTCCCCACTCGATAATTTTAAACCTTCCTATTCAATCTTTGGTTACAATTCGCGGATTAGGACGAGTTTAACTCTATCCTAACTGTTGTCAGAATCCTGACGTCGGCTAGATCTTGCAACCCCCTCCCCCTGTAATTTATCGTAGATCCATTCAACAGATAACGAGATTGGATCTCACCGACCTGTTGCCGAGTAAGTGGCCCCCGGCTAATCTCACAAATGGCATTGTTCAATTAGTATCAATTGTTAAAAGTCACTGTTACCCTCCCAAAATTGCGTTAAAAACATTAATACAAAAATCATTATTTTCTAGTATAAAGTTATATTATTACGTTAAAAATACGTATTAATATTAATTTTAAAGTCAATTACTCCAATCAATCAGTCAACCCCGTTCGTAACATCTGGTCTATTCGAGTGCTATATTGACTATTGCCTAGGAAATATACCAAATGTATGAAGTATACGGTATGAGGTATTTATTTCATTTCATTAAAACAGGTCAGAGGGTTATCATGTTAATTTATCAAGTACAGATCTCTCTCATCAATGCAGACCTTCACTCTAGCACTTAAGAATACTGTAGTACGTACAGCAGAAAGAAATTAAAGTCACAGGTTGCGATCTCTGACCTGCCGTTACGAATTATGAAGTTATTCTTTTACTTTTATGTTAAAATAATAATATAAGTAATTGTATCTTACCTTTGTTTACTATGAACAGGTAGTGACGATTAATTCATAGATTTATTCTTAAGTATACACCAGCAATCTGCACTTTTAAATAACGAAGTCACATAGATTCCAGATGAGAGCTTCAGAGGAAGGAAAGAAATAAGTATACGAGCAACCTTGGATAATTTCCAATATTTTCAGAAACAATAAAATACGTCAAGGAAGCTGATTCATCGAATGGCAATTGTAAGACGAAATAATTTACGTTAATGAGTATATTCGAATTTTTATACAATAAATCACGAGATGAAATAGGAATTCTTATTCTATTGTTTAAAATCCGAGACTGTCATCTGTATTAATGATTAGCATTATAAAAAATATAATTCGGTCTTAATTTATTTTACTTATAACTTTAAACCTTTACGTTTTTTTAATGCTTTCAATAGGAATTATAATTTTAAAATACAAAAATATGCAGTATAGAATTTACTGTATGAGTAATTTGTTAATTTATAATAAGATATGAAGTTAATAAAAGTGTCATTTAAATAAAAAATTCCAGCAATCAGTTGTGTAACTTTCCTGGCGTAAAGAGCGTGTGGTGCCATCTGTTGCGATTAAAAAGAGCTTTTTTTTATTATAAAATGGTAGAAAACTTAATATTGAAAGCAGGGATGAGTTTTATATTAAAAAAATTATAAATGCTAATAACAAGTAAAATCGTCATTATGTACTACCATACTCGAGATACGCACGACCCTCATTATCTCCCCACTCCCTCGACCTTTAATTACCAGAATTTAACAACATCAATCTCCTTAATAAACAATCCTCCTTCCTGAATTTCATAAATTTTCGACATAAAGCACAGGAGTTATTAATCTTCAGAGAGGGTAAAGAACAACATGCCCCCACACACAGCTAACATCCATACATGCAGAAATTAATCTCGAAATTTATGAATTTCTCGACGTCTGAGTACAAAAATGGAAAATCTGAAAGGAGAAGTAATTTTTGGGCCGATGGCGATACATTTCCTCTGTTATATAACAACCAAAAATATTTTTTAAAACAGCAAAACCTTCGAACCTGACATTTGTCTAATACACAATAGAGGTTGCGGCCGAAGTTTTTAGAGAGGTTGCGACGTACACGTTTTCATCGCAAAAACGTGTACGTCGGACGTTCAGCGCCGCCTTCTTGTAAACCTAAAAGTTTGACAATGGCGTTTGGTACGTCGAGCATGATTCCACTGACTTTCCAAACGCCATTGTCAAACTTCTAGAATTAAAGGAAGGCTACGCTGAACGTCCGACGTTCACGTTTTACAGATGAAAACTTCGGCCGCAACCTCGCTAATATCAAATTGACTGTATTCATTTGTAGACAGATTAAATAAATATAAACATTTTTGAGATTAAAAACCAAAGATTTTTATTAAATAATTTTTAAACTTGCAGACTATGTTTAATACGATAAATTCTAAATGTAAATTACTTGGCGAAACAAATGAAATTGTTATTGTCTTCGTTTCTTCCTGCTCATCCGACCATTTCGTCAATTTCCAATTCGTGACGTTAGATATCAACGTAAAAGAAAACGAAGAACGATTCTTTTGTAAGAAAAGTTTCTCGTATTTCTTCGCTAATTAAATAGGTATAGGTTAGAAATTACTTAGTGGAAATATTTTAGTAGATTCGTTAAATATTTCTGAAATTTTGAAGGAAGGTTTGTATAATTAGGTGGATAGATGTTGTTAAAATTTGGTGATTAAAGGTGGACGGGGTGGGAAGATAAAGAAGGTCGTGTATAATATCTCAATTAGGGTAATGAATATTTTATCCACTATAACATATGAATATTTATGAATGTTCATTGTTATGAATGAATATATATCCACTATAACTTAATGAATATTTTATCCACTATAACATTGGTAAACCGCTTCATAAACAAAAGTAAAATTCTGAAACACACACTGTGTTTTTGATTCGTAATAATCATAAAATTCTCTTGCAAATTCCAGGAATATATTAAGCTGATATTTGATATTTTTAAAACGATAAATGTAAGCGTGACTGGATACTTTTCTTAAGTGTTTTCGATGGAAATTTTAACAATTCATCCATTAGCGGAAAGTGGGACAATTCTAGACACCAGATAAAACCAGACATGAAATATTGTAAAAAATAAAAGGTTGGCAGCACTTTCGTGGTACTTTATAATTACTGTCAGCCGCGTAGTGTTGACGTATGAAATTATTCTCGGTGTGTTTGTCTATGTATTGTGCAGCTAAAAACACGTTCTTTTGAAATATTTTACTCTTTATTTTTGGTAGTATTTCTTTACCAAATAATTAAAATTTATACCTTTTCCAATGATGATTTGGGACAATTTGTGATATTTTTAGGGCAAAGACAATTGTCTCCGGGATCAATTTATGGTATATTTACTCAGTTTTTCATAACACTCTACAATTTTACTTTTGTAAAGATCAGATCCAACCATAGCAACCTAAAATTATTAATTAATTGCATTACAAGCAAACATTTATTGTGACATCGTCACAATGCCGGGTTGCAATTTTTAATTATATTTTTAAATTTATTTAATTTTAAATACAGTATAACCTCTCCACCTTCAAATTAATAGTGTCTTACCCCTGTACATCATACTTTTCCTGTTAGCAATAGAGTTCTGTAGGTCATGTATCTAACTTCTTTCAGGGTAATACTTGAATTGAAATAATGTAGCTTTCGGTTATACCCAGAGGTTTTTATACAGTTAATCGGAGCCGTCTTCATTTTCCCTTTTCAGATCTGTTTTCGGAGTTTAGATATCTAACTTTGTTCTCAAGATTAAGGAATGACAGTCGGACAAACGAATCGCAGTAAGAATTTATAGGTCTACAATTTTCTCAAATTGCAGCGAATTATTCTTTCAAATTTATTAAAATTACACATTTAAAGAATAGTTATAACAGTATATATATATATATATATATATATTAAATCACTCGTAACACACGGAATTACACATTAATTGTTGGGAAAAAGAAACAAAAGAAAAAAAAACACTGTGATTAATCAAGGATGCGGAGGAAAGAAGGGAAAAAAAAGCCTTAATGTTATCATCACGTGATCGGTGCAGTTGCGTGTCTTAACAAAGTTTCGCTTGATGAGAAGGCGAGATCTTGTGTTTGAGTTTAAAAGGGAACACACCTGACAAAATGATGCAATTAGACAAATGGCTACTTGAAAAAGTGATGAAAGAAAGTGCCGCTTCTAGTGATAATTGCTTTTAATCTCGGTTTTAATTACTAACTTTTTTGCTGGTTTATTTAAATTTTTTTTGTTCTTTTTATGTTTGTGTGTGTGTGTTAATGAAGAAAAAGTTATATTTTTTTGAAATAATAAGACGTTCCGTCCGTAAATCCGAATGTATCACGACACTAGATTGGTAGTATGTCTCTGGAGCCATCATTATACTCGACTATTCTTCACGTTACTCGTACTGTTCGAGTGCTAACTTTTCAGTCAAAAGAGTAGCAACACCAGTTCATCCTCTCACGTGATATATTTGCACGCGAAAGATGGGCGTTACGCCAAGTTCTACTGCCCTCTAATCAACTGGGTTTGTAGCAGATATCAGCATTACCCGCCTTCCGATATTGGAAAGAAAAGTTTTACCACTTTCCATTCGATATCGAGCGAATGTCATCGATTCCCCTTTGCAAAAATTAATAATCTAAACTTCCCTTTACAGATTGTACGGTCAACAAGTGCAGATACCCGATGCCTTGAATAACGCTTCTAAATCCGTTACCATAGCGACATCATCCAATAATCCGGTTTCCAATTCATCCGAAGGCCCGACTTACAGTAATCCACTTCCCGTATTTTGCAATACACCGAGTTCGACTACAGGTCCCATGGTACCTGTCACCAATTGTGTCAATCCTCAACTGATCCAGGCACCGACAGCGCCCTGTACTAGTAGACCACACTTTTCTACTTCGGCCTTCTCTGCATCGGTCATTTCACCTTCCAGATTCCATTTGAGGAAGTCCTGCCTTCACAAATGCTCGTGGAAATGGGCCACCATCGTTCTTATATGCGTTACAATCGTCATGACGGCCACCATGACGTATTTTGCAGGTAAGTCAACCCTCCCCTTTTCTTTTTTTAATTTTCGGAAAATTAATCGCTTACGTACGTAACAAAATAGAAAAGTTTAAAGAGGAATTTTGCCAAACTCATCGAGTAATGGATATCAAAGGACTGGAACATGTCGTAACTGCTCATTGAACCAAAAACAACAAACAATAGAAAGAGATATATAACTTATCCACTTGATCTTGATAAATGTAATAAATCAAATCAATAAGGAAAATCTAATCAGACCAAATAGCTTCACTTTAATTCAATCTGCTTTAGAATAGATGACGTTGCACTTTTGCAACCATCTGTCTCACGGTCGATTCTTTCCCCCTTCTCGTAATGCGCTACACCCAAGCTGCGCTACACACTACAGTTACGATTATCCACGCTTTCACGGTTAATCGATTTATAGCTTAAGTATCTATATATCAATGACCTGTTAACTCCATATGCCATGAGAGATATATATGGCCTTCATTTAAATTTTTCACGCTGAGAAATTTACTTCGCTCTTTAAAAACCCCACTTCTTACACCACTCCATTATTTTCTATTTTTATATAAGGCTATTTAATTATAAAATGACTTTTTTTTTCTTTTTCAGCCATGAACTCGCTAAACATCACTCCAGAAACCAGTAAACCGTGTATAGTTGTGGATTCTGTAGAAAGTGCCACGAGATATCCTGCCACTATATCTCCGAGTGAGTTTTCCTTATACCATTTTAAACCCTTTTTTCGACCTTCAATTGACCTCTATAAGCGGTTAGTGTGAAAATTTAATAAAATCACTCGCTAAACACTGCGTATAGATGTAGATTCTACAGAAAGTACAGCAACATATCCTTTGAGCCAGTGGCACGTCATGGGGCCCAGGCAAATTAGAATTAGGAGATCCCATGTAGAATATTGACTTTAGACATTTATCTTCTAAGGAATTATTTAGGGAGAATCCCCAATATTTTCGTTGGTTTTCTTAACGCCACTTCTGATAGGTTTTAATTAAATTCTGTGCTACTCCAGTGCACCGAAGACGGCCTCGGCTCCGCAGTGCACCGCGCGCCAGCACCATATCTGCTCTGAATTTAAATTTCTATATTCTTACAGTTTTAAAAGATTGGTTTGGAGCCCCCTTTTATTGGGACCACCAGACAATTTCCCTTTTTACCCCACTACTAGTTTTTCCCCCACTTTAAACCATTTTTTTTTTATTATTTTCGACCTTCAATCGACCTCTATAAATTCGCCAGTCATCAGTTAATTTTAAATTTAACAAAAGCTATTAAATTATAAGAGTCTAGACATAAAAATTTAATTAAAGTAACCAATATACCATTTAATAAAAATAATTAATTCGCTCGAAAATGGAGAAACAAAAAGTAAAAGAGAGGACGGGAGGAAGAGAAAAAGGAGGAAGGAAAAAGAAAAAAAGATAAAATGGACTTAGTATAATTGGTCTGTCAAAACTTG